GAAATCCATCGCATCCCCACGCGTTGGTCCGGACCCCGAGGATGAAATCGCTGAGGTCGCGCGTGTCGTCCATAGGCGCACCCGGTGAGAAGCCGGCTCTGTGCACCGACAGCAGCAGCTTCCGCACCGTCGTGGGGTCCCCCTGGCCGGGCGGGGCGAAAGGCTGGCGGGGTTGCCGACTCAGCACTCCTGGCTTCTGGAGGTGGTCGGCCACCGCCCTGCGCAGCCTGTCGCTGGCTCGCTTGGCGTCCCAGGCCTGGCGCATGGTCAGCAGCCCGTGCGAGACCAGGACGCTCTCTGGTAGCAGCTTGCGGAGCTGCCATGCGCACGCGGCAATCATGCAGTCGCCGGTCGCGTCTAGGTCCGCCGCCCTCCATTGGCAGTCCTCGCAGCCAAGGGGCGGGTTGTGTTTGTCCTCCAGAGCGCGGGCTAGTAGCGGGAAGCTCCGCGAGCAGACCCCGTTCCGCTCGCGCCGCCCAGTGGCCTCCGACTCGTAAGTCGCCTCCCACTGCAGCACGCGCGCCTCGTTATCGGGGAGCGTCTCCTTGGGCCACGAGCTCCGCAGTTGCGCGCGGACGCCCCCAGCGAAGGCCATGGCGTCGCGTGTCGGCGGGCCGAAGAAGCGCTCGTCCTCCTTGGCGAAGGCCTCCGCGCTGCCAGGCATCTCTCCGGCGAGGGCGTCGGCCAGCCGCACGGCGCCGTCCTCCGCAGACACGCCGCAGCAGAGCTGCCAGTGGTCGTCGAGCGCGGAGGCCTGCGCCTCGTGCTGAAGGAGGCAGGCGCGGAGGGCGGTCTTGGCGGAGGCGACGCCTTCGGCCGCGGCCTCGAAGGGACCGTCCCCGTCCTCGTCGGAGGAGAACCGCCTCCCGTGAGCTGGTCCCGTTGGCGGCGGGTAGGCCGGCACCTGGGTGGCAGGCTCGGGCGGCGAGGGCAGGGTCGACGGCGGTGGCTGGAGCTCGCCTCCCAATCGTGGGAGCGAGCAGCTTCCGGGTGGCTCCTTTACACCCCCATATGCACTGCCGCCTGTTTCGGAAAAACGCACCCCGCTCGGCTGGACACGCCCCACAGACGGGGACAGGGGACGCGGCTCCCCTTGCGCCGATTGCGGCGGCGGCGGCGGTGGCGGCAGCGGCGGCGGCGGCGGCGGCGGTGGCGGCAGCGGCCCGGAGTACCGACGGCTGATGCCGCCGTCGGTGCTGGGCTCCTGGCGGCGCATGACCCTGTTCCCCGAACGGAACGCATCCGGGCCCGATTTGCGCCTGGCGCCCGAGAGCTCCCACCCCCCCTCCGCCGTCGCGCGCTTCTCGAGGACGACCCGCAGCGCGCCAGTCTTGATGACGCGCCAGAACTCCAGGTTCTCGAAGGGATCAGTCACGCCCGCTTTGTAGAGATGCGTCGCCGCCGCGCACAGCGCCTCGTCGAAGGCCTTGAACGTCTTCTCGAACCTGGGGTAGGTCGCGCCGGACGGCCCCCCGGCGCGCCCCACCCGTCGGCCTTCCTCGTCCGTCGCGTATCTGGCGAGCCGAGGGCCTCGCGGCAGGTGGCGCTCCATGTCTTCCACCGCGCTGCTGAGGCGTTCGAGCAGCGGCAGCGACGGCGGCGCCGCTGGCAGCTGGGCGACCCGCCGGGCGTACCTCCCCTCGCCGAGGAACTCGTCGCAGAAAGCGGTCGTGGCATAAGCGTAGTCGAACTCCGCCTCGACGCAGTGGACTAGGAGGGGAATCACCCGGCTCACGTGGACCGCCACGAAGCGCTCGGGAATGCGGAGGAGGCCCTCGGGGTAGTAGGCAAACGCGCCGCCGCTTGGCCGCCAGTGCCGCTCGATGTGCGCGTCGAGCGCGCCAGCCACCGAGTGCGCGCGCCCGACATGGGCCACCCTCGCGCGTCCCCATGCCTCGTCGTGCCCCTGCAGCGCTGCCGTCTTCTTGGCGCTGCGCTCGCGCTGCGCGCGCCATGCCTCCTTCTCTCGCGCCCGTTTGCGCTGCCGCTCGGCCTCCTCCTCGGCCGCGAGTTCCTGCGTTCTCGTCGCGTCCATGTACTCGACCACGCCCTCCCTTCTCGGAATGCGGTAGAGGAGGGGCTCGCCGCTCGCCCCGACGCGCGCGGTACCGCCGGCCGCGCCGCCCGGCCGAGGGGAGCACGGCTCTCTGGGCGTCGGCCAGCCACCGTGCTGGCTGTGAGGCGACTCGGGGCGGGTCGGCGGGGAGGGAGGTGAAGGCGGCGGGGAGGCGAGGGGGGTGGAGGGAGGAAAGGGGGGAGGAAAGGGGAGAGGAAAGGGGAGAGGAAAGGGGGGGATGGCGGCGGCGGTGAGAGGCGGCCGGGGGGGATGGAGGGGGGAGAGGGTGGCGGCGGCGGTGGGAAGGAGAGGGTTGCCATTCGCGCCGCCCGCAACGGAAGCAGCGCAGCCGCCAGCAGCGCCGCACGCGACGTAGCCCCCAGCGCAGCTCGCGGCAGCGCCGCAAGAATGAAGGGTGGAGTCGTCCCGGATGCTCTCAGAGAGGCTGATACCGGGACAACAAAGAGAACAACGGAACGGCGGTGCCTCGCAGGAGGAGCAGTGGCGGCAGCGGGGGACAGAGACGGCAGAGGCAGGGGCGTCGGCAGCGGAGGTGGGGGCGGCGGAGGCAGAGGCAGAGGCGGAGGCACAGATGGTGGGCTGCTGCGCGGGCCGCTGCTCGGGCTGCTGTGCGGGCTGCTGCTCGGACTGCTGCTCGGGCTGCTGCTCGGGCTGCTGCTCGGGCTGCTGCTCGGGCTGCTGCTCGGGCTGCTGCGAGGGCTGCTGCGAGGGCTGCTGCGAGGGCTGCTGCGAGGGCTGCTGCGAGGGCCCCTGCTCGGGCTGCTGCTGCTGTGAGGGCTGCTGCTCGGGCTGCTGCTCGGGCTGCTGCTCGGGCTGCTGCTCGGGCTGCTGCTCGGGCTGCTGCTCGGGCTGCTGCTCGGGCTGCTGCTCGGGCTGCTGCGAGGGCCCCTGCTCGGGCTGCTGCTGCTGTGAGGGCTGCTGTGAGGGCTGCTGCTCGGGCTGCTGCTCGGGCTGCTGCTCGGGCTGCTGCTCGGGCTGCTGCTCGGGCTGCTGCTCGGGCTGCTGCTCGGGCTGCTGCTCGGGCTGCTGCTCGGGCTGCTGCTCGGGCTGCTGCGAGGCGAGCCTTGTGCCTGGAGGCCGGGCCGTGGCAGCAGCAGGAGGCTCGAGGACCAGGCAGTCGCGTCGCAGCGGCCGGCCGGGAGAGCTCTGTTGGGGTTGGCGCTGGTCTAGGGCACCAGAGCGTCGTCCATCAGAGCGTGGCCCACCGGGCGGCAGCGCGTGTACCGAGCTGAAGTCCATGCGACCGGTGCCTTCGGCAGCGGCCGCGGGCGGCTGCAGCCGCTGAGGGTCTCCAGGTCGGCTCCCACGGTGGCTGCCGCCAAGGGCAGCAACCATCGTGGGGACGCGCGAAACTTTTACACATTGAGAAGAAAATACTTTCAGGCGGTCCCGGCTGTTTTTTTCCCAAAAACTCAGTCCCGGCTGTGTATGGCGATCCGAGGACGAACCAGTGGAAATCCCGTTGTCAGCCGTCACGATGCACCCGAAGGGGACCCCAGCGCCGGCCCTCGGCATCATCAGTGAAGGCACAAGTGTTCGAAGAGAGAGAGAGTGGACCTGAGCAGAAGAAGAAGCGACAAGGGAAAGAACGACGAGAGTGGGACGACCGCGAGGTGGCATGAAGGTTGCAGCGAGAATCGGCGAGAGACTGCGAAGAGAGATAGGAAGAGGCGGACGCCCAAGGGTGGGCGACGGCTAGCGCACCACACCCCTCTCCTTAAAATCCCTGTGTGGTGGCGGCGTGCCGTCCTCCCATCCCTCCCTTGGGTTGTCCGTTTTCTTTCTTTCTTTCTGGCGATCCACTTGAGCACTTGAGCACTGGATAGGGTCGATTCCGCATGGTACGGGACCCCTCCACTCTTTGTTGCTCGCTCGCCCGGGCGGAGGGCATTCTCGATGTGCTGAATCAGGCTGTTGCGCCCGCCCACCGTGGGGAAGTACCCTGTGCAAAGAATTTTGTGCAAAGAAAGAAAGAAAGAAAACAGACAACCCAAGGGAGGGATGGGAGGACGGCACGCCGCCACCACACAGGGATTTTAGGGGAGAAGTGTGGGGTGCTAGCCGTCGCCCACCCCCTCGGGCGTCTACCTCGAAAGAACGAAAGAAAGAAAACACACAACCCAAGGGAGGGATGGGAGAACGGCACGCCGCCACCACACAGGGATTTTAAGGAGAGGAGTGTGATGCGCTAGCCGTCGCCCACCCTGGGGAGTCTGCCTCTTCGTATCTCTTTTCGCAGTCTCTCGCCGCTTCTCGCTGCAACCTTCATGCCACCTCGCGGCCGTCCCACTCTCGTCGGTCTCTCCCTTGTCACTTCCTCCTCTGTCGCTTCGTTCTCTTCTGCCTCGTCCTGCGACGCCGCCGCCTGCCGGTCCCTTGTTCTCGCGGCTTCTTTCGCCTTGCGCAACTCCGTCCTCCTCGCGGCGTATCCTGGCCCCTCGAGTCTATCAAGCTCCCCTCGCGCAAGGACCACATTTCTGACTCCCACTCCGATCATTTGCCTACACGTCATGTTGTTGCTCAGGTCCACTCTCTCTTCGAACACTCGTGCCTCTACGGATGATGCCGGCGCTGGGGTCCCCTTCGGATGCATCGTGACATCTGACAACTGAATTTCCACTGGTTCGTCCTCCTCTGAGTCATCTTCCCCGTCCTCCTTCCGCTCGGCCCTTCGCTCGGTACGTTCGGTACGTTCGGGCGTCTACCTCTTTCTAGCTTCGCAGTTTCTCACCAATTCTCGCAGCGACCTTCATGCCACCTCGCGTTCTTCCCACTCTCGTCGTTCTCTCTCCTGCTGTCTCTTCCCCTGACTCATCGCTCTCCACGGCCTCGCGTTCTGAGACGCCGCTGTCGTCTGCCGATCTCTTGCTGTCTCTGCTTCTCTCGCCTTTCTGCGTAACTCCGCTCTCCTCTCCGCTGTCACTTGTAGTGAGCGTCGGGCTGGTGGTTCGACACCGAGTTTGAAAGATCTTTGCGTATTTTGGTCCCTCGAGTTTATCGAGCATTCCTCGCGCAAGGACCACATTTCTCACTCCCACCGCGATCATATCCCGCCATGTCATGTCGTTGCTCAGGTCCACTCTCGTTTCGAGCACTTGTGCCTCAACGGTCGGTGTTGGCACTGGGGTTCCCTTCGGGTATATCGTGACAGCTGACGGCGGGATTTCCGCTGGTGTTTCGTCCTCCTCGGGGTCGTCTTCCCCGGCTTCCTTCCGCTCGGCTCTACGTTCGGTACGTTCGGCGTGGCTCACCCTCCATGCCGTGAACAGGCGCTTTATTTATCCACTCTATATTCTTCTCTCGTTCCTCTGCCCGTGCCTTGGTCTTGTCGTTGTTTCGCACCCATGTCTGTATGGCAATCGAGGCTGCCTTCCCTGTAGTTCACTCGTCACCTCTCCCGCGAGCTCCCCTCTCTTTCTTTCGGGTATGGGGTCCGTGAGTGCGGGCAACGCAGCCCGTACCAACTGGCCCAAAAAAGTTTCTTTCACCGGCGAATAAATAAATAAATAAAACGGACACACCAAACAAGGGGTGGGAGAAGGACAGGGTCCCCACCTGCGCGAGCAGGATCTTGTAAGGACGATCAGGGACACAGGGGAACGGGAGCGGCGGGAGCGCATCGCGACACGGAGGGGGGCTGGGCAGGGTTCACCCACACGCCAGGGTCCCAGGGATTCCCCTCTCGTATAGGACAAAGTTGCACCGGCGTGTGCGAGAGAGCACTTGGAGCACTTGGAGTGCAGTCGGTAACCTCACATCCAGGGCCGAGGAGCTAAGAAGCGCACCCAGCGGGCCGAATGATCGGCATCGGGTTACGGGCAAGAGAGCCCTAGCCCTGGGGGTGCGCGTTCGCAGGGAAGGGGCCGTAAAGTAAACACAGGTCTCCGAGGGTTAGTTCCGTGTACCGGGTTTCCCCTTAACTGCAGAACGCCCCCTCTATTCGGAGCTAACAGACACACAACACTGTACTCCACGCACGTACACGGATACGCCTCATGTGCGCCCACCCGGCTCCGGTCCCAGAGTCCCTTCCTTCGCCCGTCGGGGCAAGCCCTCGTCTCGTCCCGGTCCCTTGCTCGCCTTCCGGGCGTTACCAGACTGCCTCTGCAGTCGTTTCTGATGCCTCTTCCTCGGCTGTGGCCTCGACTCCGCTTCGCCTTCGACTGGTACCGCAGCCTCCGAGAGCGTCGACGACCCGGCCGGGGTCTCCCCGGGCGAGGACGGCGGCATTGGGTCGTGTCGCCTCCCCTCCCAGGGAGGACGGGCCCACTCTCCCTGGTCGACGGGTCGCGCCCGCACCCGCGGTCTCTCTATCGTCCTCGGCTCGCCCCTCCCCTCCGCCGGCTCCTCTTCAGGCCGTCGGGGAGGCGTGGCCGGGCACGGGACTGGCGCGCACTGGCACTAACACAGGTACACCAAAAGAATGTTCACTTGGTCGTCCATGTACCATGATAGACAGGGCGGGGACCTGTTCCTTTTTACCCATCTCCTAGTAGAGGTGTCCGTTTTATTTATTTATTTACCATGATAGAAATATCCGCAAAAGAGCTATATATCAAGCAGAACGGAAACGGGACAGAGAGTACAGATAGAGAGAGCTCACCTCACATCCTCCCTGCGTATGTCTTTCTTTCACAGGTAAGGCAAGGCTAAGGTATAAGGTAAGGTCTCCACACACACAAAGTCGAAAGTGGTGGGGCAAGGGGGGGCAACCCTCGCATCTCCACGCGCCCGGACACGCGGGCAGGAGCCCCACGGCATTCCCCGGCATTCAGCAAGGCCCAGTGCACGTGGTTGAGCAGACCTGCTCCCGCACCCCACTGGCTCCCTCCCAGACACAACCCGCACACAATAACTCCCCGCCCGCGCCGCGCTGAATGAGGCAGCGCTCGTGCCGCACAAGAAATGTTGAGTCTCAGCGGCCGTGGCCTCTCAGCAGGAGCAGCTCTCTACGAGCGCTCCTGGGCCGCATCCGCCGCCATCCTGGCTGCAACCGCCCTGGCGATCGAAGCGGCCGCAGCGGCACCCCTTGCCTCCGCAGCGGCCGCCGCCTCCTCGAGCGCTGTCTCGCTCCCTTCGAACGCCAAATCGACCCTGTGCGACGCCGCCTTGGCCTCCTCCAACGCCGCCTCGGCCTCCTCCAACGCTGCCCTGGCGTCCGCCTGTGCCGCCCTGGCCTCCGCCCTCGCCACCTCGGCAGCCGCCAGCGCCGCCACGGCAGCCACCTCCTCCGCCTTGTCCGCCTCCGCCTCCTCTTCCGCCTCGTCCGCCGCAGCGTCCAAGCGCACCGCCTCGGCCACCTCTGCCGACGCCGCTGCCTGGCTCTCCGCCGTGATGCCGAACCGGATCCTCTCCTCGTGACACTTCTCGAGAAGCCTGATCATCCTCTCCTCCTCGGCCTTCTTCGCAGCCTCGGCTGCCTCCAACGGCGCCTCGGCGCCCTCCTCCGTCTCCTGCGACGGCCCAGCCGCGCCCGCCCCTCCGCCCTTCTTCTTCTTCTTGCCCTTCTTGCCCTTGGCGCGCTTCTTCTCCGCCTCGACCTCCGCCAACAGCTCGTCGGCGTGCCGCGCCGCCTCCTTCTCCGCCGCCGCCCGCTCCGCCGCCCTCGCCGCCGCCCCAGCAGCCCGCGCCGCCTCCTTCGCCGCCTTCTCGGCCGCCGCCTCGGCCGCCGCGTGCTCCTCGAGGGCGCGCATGCACTCGGCGTGGCCCTTCACCTTGGCCCACTGCAGCGCGGTATTGCCGCTATTAGTGCACAGCGTCATATCTGCTGCCCGCCCGCAGCAAGCAGAGCAGGGCGGCGGGGTGGCCGCTGAAAGCGGCCCAAATCAGCGCGGTGTCGCCGTTGCTGGTCTGCAGGTTGATCTCTGCGCCGTGCCGGATCAGCGTGTCGACAACCCGCTCGTGGCCTTTGTAGGCGGCGTCCATCAGTGCGGTGCAGCCGGTCGTGCATCTTCTTTGATTGATTTCCGCGCCGTGCCGCAGTGCCAGCTCGATCAGATTCTCGCGGCCGTTCACGGCTGCGGTCATGAGCGCGCTGCC